ACGTCGTCGTCGTCGTTCGTCAATCGTCGTCGTCGTCGTCGTCGTCCGTCGTCGCCTCAGGGCTGAAGGACGCGTCGTTGTGGTTGTCGCCCTACACGCCATCCGCAAGGGCCGTCGTTGTCGACGTCGTCTTCGTCGTCATCCTCCTCCCCCACCCGCGATTGTAAGCTGCCTACGCAGCACCCTCGCCCCGGGTAAGCCACCCGCAACGATCCGTCGTCGTCGTCGTCGTCGTCGTCGTCGTCGTCGTCGTCGTCGTCGTCGTCGTCGTCGTCCGTCGTCGTCGTCGTCGTCTCGTCGTCGTCCGTCGTCGTCTTCCCCCGGGACTGCCAGACCCCTGTGCAGCCCCCACCTCACCCCATGCCATCAGCAAAGGGCCGTCGTCGCCGTTGTCGTCGTCGTCGGCGTCGTCGTCGTCGTCGGGCTGCATTCCGCCCACGCAGCCCCCGCCCCACCTTCTATTTGCCATCCGCAAATCGCAAAGGCCACCTTCGTCGTCGTCGTAGTCATCGCCGTCGTCGCCCCAGGATTGCAGGACGCCCGCGCCCCCCTCCCACCCCGTGCCATCCACAGTCCGCCGTCGTCCTTGTTGTCATCGCCCGTCGTTCTTCGTCCCCCCAGGACTGCATGACGCCCGCGCCAGTGGGCAGGGGATGCCTTCGACCAGTCGGAATAGCCAACCCCGCCTCTCCAAAGCGTCAGCACTCGGGCCCCCCCTGGCCTCCCAGACGGCCGGGGAGGGCCCCTCCCGAGCCATCAGCCCCCCGTGGGCCGAGCTCGCCTTGTCCTGTCAGGGACGGCAAAACATTCGCTTTGTCGCCCCCCCACTTCGTCTCCGAATCGCTTACCTCCATGATGTGGGGGACCTTCTCTGTCCCGACTCGTGCTGCGTTCTTCGGCGTCCGGATTGCCCCGTGAGGGCCTCGGAAGTTGCGACGGATTGCCGAGGAATCGCCTTGGAGGTCCGCGGACAGCACTGGAGTGGCTTCGGCTACGCAGGGTGGCCTTGGATATGGCGCCGATGGCCAGGTCAGGGGGGGGAGAGAAGGTCCCCCAGTACATTCAACAGAAGACCCCTTCCTGAGGTGCGTTTTGGGGGGAATTTCGAGGCGGATCTGGTCGTTGCCACGAGGGCCATCCGGGACACCCCCGAGGTGAATATGCAAATCCCGGGAGATTGAATTCAGCATCGGCGCTGATATTTCCGCGGTCGAAAACCGACCTCATTCGGCAGAATCACGTGCAGCATGGCGTAATCCCCGCTAATGTTAGTTTAATCCCGCTGGGTCTTGGGTCTCACGTCTTCATCAATCCCGTTGATTTGCCCTTCGCTCGACCAGGCCCGGATAGCTTGCCACAGTGCTTACGAAGACCTCCCAGGAATTGTTCGGCGGCGAGCGAGGGGGGGAAGTGAGAAGGAGAAGGGTTTCTCAGAAGGCGGTGGGACTTCTCAGAAGGCCTCCGGCCTTATGAGAAGTTTGTTTTGTCTTCGGGGAATGCTTAGAAACTTCTCAGAAGGCCGGGGGACTTCCGAACCTTCTGAAAAGGCACGCCCCTTCTCACTTCCCCCCCCTGGCTCGCCGCCTAATTGTTTCCGAGCCAAAACCGGCAAACGTCAGAAATTCTCGGCCCTCCATCCTGGGATCCGGATCCGGCGATTGCCGTCAATCGCTGCCGCCAGGAGGGGGTCCTGCCCAAGGTGCTCCGGACGCTGGTGGAGAGCCGCAGGACCCCCCGGCGCTGGGCCCAGCGAGCTCTGGCGCCCCAGGGCGTCGTCGTCGTCGCCGCCGCCGCCGCCGCCGCTGTCGCCGTCGCCGTCGGCGACGCCGCCGCGCGTCGAATTGTTTTCGCGTCTGCATTTCGGCCTTCGGAGACCCATTCCTGATCCTGATTCAACGGATTTCGGAATCCGACGTCGTTGGTATTCGTCGTCGAGGTACGAGCGGGGCACATGGGGCACGGAGGATCGCGCAGCATTGCCGATGCTCTGGTGATGCTGCGCGTTCCACCGCCTGGTTGCCTCCATCCCGGCTTGGCGACGCAGCGCCGACGCATCTGCGACGCGGTGCGTGACCCTCCGACCCCAGCTGCTCTGGCCCCATTTCCAGGCATCCGGCGCTACGATTTTTTCTCTGCTCAGCCCCCTGAGACCAGGACAAAACAAACAAGGACATGGGTAAGTCAGGCAAACGAAACTCCCTTGCAAAGTCAGGTTTTGGTCGTCCACTGCATGTTTTGATTGCTGCGCTTGGTCAGCCAGTGCATTTTTTGTTGCTGCACTGCAGGATTCGTGTCTGTGTCTGGGTCTAGGGGAGGTGTTCCAGGCTTTCATGGTCTTTGTCTGGGTGCATCCCGGGAATGTTGCAGTGCAGCTTTTCGTCTGTGCTGCCCTCTTGTGCAGTGCAAGTTTTTGTTCGTGCCGCCGTCTGGATAATTCGGTTTCGAGGTATGTTGGATGTCCTGGTCTAGCGTGTCCGGTTTTAGGGGGCCCTGATCGACTTGGGCCTCCAGATCTTTCATCCCGGCTGTTTTGTCTTGATGGCGCTGGGGCCCGAGACGGGTCTTCAGGAGCCCCAAAGAATTTGCGAAACCAGGCGCTTCGATGTTGTCGTGATGAAGGGTGTCCGAGTTCTGGCGGCCTCCAGTGCGAGAGGAGGAGCTGTGCGAGTGGGCCCAGGAACCGCAGAAGGTCAGCCTGCGATCAGCAAGCGGTGACCTCCCCTGGGGGCTGACGAGTGGCTCCCGCGGGGTGCGACACCGTTTGGTGAATCACCTCGCGCCAGGGGGTCGTCGCGGGCGCCGCCGAGGGGATCGTGCAACTGCATGGCTCCAGCGGTGGGGAAGGCTCTGGGACGGCCGCCGGCGCCCGATGCACGACTCTCCAGGGCCGCTGGAGCTCAGAGCTTCCCGAGTTTCTGCTACCCCGTTCCGACTGGCTGAGATAGACCTAGGTGGGGCATGGCCCCTGTACAGGAGGAATGTTCAGACATAGGTTTCAAACATAGCCAGGGGACGATGTTTCCTTTCATATATCTATATAGATATATGTATACATATTTTTGGTTTTGAGATGTTTGAAAATCTGTCAGGGTTGGTTGCCTGTTTTTGTAAGTTGTCCTTCCAAGTCCGCCTGTAGGAGGACATGCCCGACCTGAAGCTATAGACCTTGGGGCCCAGCGTCGACCGCACCCCCCGCGCCCCCCTGCTGGGAGGAGCAACGGGCCCCCACACAGTCGGGGCGCTGAAGAAGGAACCTTTTTCGTTTGGGAGGGGCTCGGTCAGCGCCCCGACTGCACCGCTACCCTCGGCTCGTTCTCGCCTGCTTGGGCCTCCTGGCATGCCCTCGTCGCCACCGCTGGATGGATCCGCCATGAAGCCTTGGTCAGAACGCACCCCAGGAGAGGTCCGGGGAGTAGCGTTGAAGTCGGGCACGTCCCTCTTCAGGAGGCGCATGAAACATAGAGGAACATAGTCCGGGGACGATTGTTTGAGCATGTTTGACTATTTGTGTTTTTTTTCTTGGGGGGGTACTTTTACACCCAAAATCCGCCAACATCTTTATGCCCGAACTAAGAGTACAGTCAACCCGCAGGGTAAGGATGCGCGATAAGGATGCAAGGCCCTTGGAAGCCCATCTCGAAGCGTTTCGAGCGGGGCGCGGCCAACGAGAGTGTCTAAGAATGGACCCAGGAAGCAAGGATGCAAGGGTACCCTTGGGAGGGATGCCCATCCTTACTCTGCGGGTCGACTGTAGCGGCATCGGTACCTCTTGGTTTTCCCACCGACGGGGGGGGGCCCTGGCCTCCCGGGCCACGGAGCCCCGATCGAAAGAAGGTGTGTGGTCCCGGGACCGGGCCCGCCCTGCGGGAGCTCAGGGTCTCCTTCTCCTCCTCCTCGTCCTCCCTCCTCCTCCCTCCTCCTCTCCTCCTCCTCCTCCTCCTCCTCCTCCTCCCTCCCTCCTCTTCCTCTCCTCCTGCTCCTCTCCTCCTCCCTCCTCCTCCTCCTCCTCCTCCTCCTCCTCCTCCTCCTCCTCCTCCTCCTCCTCCTCCTCCTCCTCCTCCTCCTCCTCCTCCTCCTCCTCTCCTCCTCCTCCTCCTCCTCCTCTCTCCTCCTCCTCCTCCTCCTCGCTTCCGAGAGGGGTCAGAAGATAGTTGGCCGCCCAGGCGGCCCAGGATGGCCACGAGTCAGAGCGTTTTGGAGCGCTTTGCAATGGCCGCGGCTCCCGATACATCCGGCCGCCTGATCTTAGAGATCCCCGATGTATCCCAGTTCGAATTCGTCCCGGTCGTGGCTTCTAGAGGAGGAGGGGGAGGAGGAGGAGGAGGAGGAGGAGGAGGAGGAGGAGGAGGAGGAGGAGGAGGAAGCGGAGGAGGAGGAGGAGGAGGAGTTGGAGGAGGAGGTGTGGAGGAGGAGGAGGAGGAGCAGGAGGAGGAGGAGGAGGAGGAGGAGGAGGAGGAGGATGGTGTGGAGAGGAGTAGGAGGAGGAGGAGGAGAGAGTAGGAGTAGTAGGAGGAGAGGAGGAGGAGGAGGAGGAGGGAGGAGGAGGGAGGAGGAGGAGAGGAGGAGGAGGAGGAGGAGGAGGAGGAGGAGGGAGGTGGAGGAGGAGGAGGAGGAGGAGGTGTGGAGTAGGAGGTGTGGAGGAGGAGGAGGAGGAGGAGGAGGAGGAGGAGGAGCGCAGGTGGAGGTGGAGGGTGAGGTGGAGGTGCAGGAGGAGGAGGAGGAGGAGGAGGAGGAGGAGGAGGAGCACGAGGATGAGGACGATCAGACGCGTCGTTAGTGGGGGGGATCGGCTCTGGGAAGGGGGGCGCATCGACCCCCAATCGCCCTATCATCGCCGAAAGCGGCATGATAGCCCACTCCGCCCAGGAACGTCCGGATTGGCCATCGCGGACCTATGGCCGATGCGGCCGCAGCGGCCAGAGCTTTGCGAGCACGTCCGCCACGGTGAGCCGCCAGCGCGGCCGTGGCAGCAGTTTCAGCGAGGAGGGATCCCGTCAGTCATGGCGCCAGGATGGTACTGTGGCAAATGCGGGCTCTACAACTACGGGCATCGCCACACATGCCGCCAGGCAGAGTGCGACGGGTGCAATCCATATCAAGCAGTGCAGCCAGAGCAAGGATACTGGTCGCAGTTCGTGGTGCCAGGGGCCGCCTGGCAGCAAGGCCCACCCGCGCTGCGCAAGGGTGACGGGGGCAAGGGCGGCGGCAAGACGTACAAAGGCGGTGGGAAGAAAGGTGACGGTGGAGGGGTACCTCCGCCAGGCAAGAAGGGGCCAGGCGGCGCGCCGCCAGGCCGTGCGCCCGCGCAAGAGGAACGCAACATGTGGCTTCAGATGGGAGAGGAGCAGTTCGCCGTCTTGGGTCAAAGTTTGTCGCAGTCGCACAGGGATCAGTTCACCCACGCTCACGCCATGGCGAACTACGGTTTGCAAGGTGCGCAGGCGGAGGCGCAGCAGGCCCATCTTCATATCGGGAAGTACTCGCAGCAGGTGCTGCACCAGAAGCAGAGGCTCGCGAAGTTGAAGCAGCAGTCTTGCGCGGCCATCGTGGCGGTGCTGGAAGCGAAGGAGCAGTTGCGCGAGACGGGAACGCAGCTGGCGGAGGCAAAACAGAGGGCGTCCCAGCACCTGGGTCAGCAGGCAGCGCAGCCGCCTGCGGTCCATGCGGCTGAGGTTAAGGCGCATATCAAGGAGGCCGTGGGCAAGCTCAAGGAGGCGGTGCCGCAGGAGGTGGCGCCGCAGCTCTCGGAGGCCTTCGAGCACTTCGGCAAGGCCATCGAGGCGGTCATCCAAAAGGTGCGCGCGGCGGAGCCAGGCCGGGCAGCCCCAGCCGAGGCGCCCCCGCGGGGCCCTGCGGCCGCGCCTGCCAGCGCGGCCGCGGCTGGCGGCCTGGCCGCGGGCGCAGGCGCCGCGGATGCAGATGACGTTCAGATGGCTGCTGGCGGTGATGCTGTTGCTTGGGAGTCTTGGTCTGCAGAACTCTGTGGGCAGTTCGAGTCGCATGAGAAGCTCAAGGATCCAGATGTGCAGGCCGCCATCCAGACATTGTTCAACAAGGCCCAGCAACGCCACCCGGAGGACAAAGAGGAGCTTGGCAAGCGAGACGCCCGCAGCAGGAACCCAGGCCGATCGAGAGCGTCTGAGGGATCCAAGCAGCGGTTTTAGCAGTCTGTGGTCTTTTTGCACGGCCAATGTCACGAGTTGGCCGCGCTGCCAGAGTTTTCTGGGGAAGGAATGTGACGGAGTCACATGTTTCCTGCAAGAATGTAAGGTTGAGCGGGCCGGCTTTGCCCAGTCTGGAAGCACTCTTTTGAAGGCAGGTTGGAATGTTAGGTTTGGAGCCTGTGAGGTGACCAAGTATGGCGGGCTTTCTTCGGGGGAAGGTATAGCTTCTAGAATAGGCGTAGGCATGGGGGCCATGGGAGGTATGCCTCGACCGACCTCAAGAGTTGCCTCGATATGGATGGGTGGACTTGTTCGTGGAGGTGTGATGTGTTCCTCGGTATATCTACCGTCTGGGGATGGTGCTGGTGTCCAAGGGCGCCAAATACTCTTTCAGCTTGGGGAGTTCTTGTACTTGTCTAGGAAGCCCTTCGTTATTGGGGGGGGGGCTTTCACGCCGCGGCGGATGAGATCAGAGCTCTTGGGATTCTTGAGAAGTTCGGAGGAGTAGTGATCCAGCCTGTGCAGCCCACGTGCAGAGTGGGCAAGGAGTGTAGAACCCTGGATTATTTCATCGTATCAGGTGGTCTGGTGTCAGCAGTGGCCAGGTGCGATCGAATCGACGAGACGGAGCTGTCTACGCATTATCCCGCTAAGCTCGTACCCAGGATTGATTCGCATCTGGCCCAGATTCGTGTTCTGGCGAAGCCTCGTCCTTTCCCCGATGAGCATCCCGTTGGACCAGCACCAGAGCCACCGCAGGCCTGGCGATATTTTCTAGATAGGTTGGAGACCTACGTCGCGGGCTCGGCCTTCACGGCGGAGCAGGCGCGATCTGCGCATGCAGAGTCGTGTGCCCTGGCAGAGCAGGAGCTGGTGAACACCTACCAGGTCGACCCAGCGCAGGCAGGCGGCTTTAAAGGGAGAGGGTCGGCTTTCAGATTTATCTGGAGATTTATCGGGGGTCCGTTTCCCTTGGGTTCTTCTGTGACGAGGGCGATGAGAAGATATGGCGCCAGGATCGAGGAGTCGATGTTTCTGATCCGCAAGGGCTGTTCAGGCCACGAAGGCAGGAGTCAGCAGGTGCTCGGTTTGCTGAACAAGCTTCGGGAGCCGCCAGAGACCCTGTGGGAGTGCGAGCGCTGGGCCAGCTGGAGGCTGAAGCATTTCTCCATGGAAGGTTATCGCGCCGAGGCGCTGCACGTCGCGCTGCCCTTACATACCACATGTACCCAGGACGAGGAGCAGGTTTGGAAACGGTTTCGGCAGGGTGAATGGAGACAGCGGGCCCGCGTTCGGCCTTGGAAAATGGTGGGGGGAAGGCCCGCGAATGGGCGAAACAGCCCAACGAGTGGGCCCCTTCGGACTTCGGCCTCTCAGGGGCCCATGGAGGTTTCAAGGGTCAGGTGGGGGCCCTGGAGGAGGAGTGGAAGCACATCTGGAGGTTCGAGGAGGTCCCCGAGCTCAACCCCGAGATGCTCGCAGGGCTCACTCTGGAGGACCCGGCGCCATCTCTGGAACCTGGTCAGATCAGGTCTGTCTTGGGGGAGTTCAAGAAGCACGCGGCGGTAGGCGTGCGCAACTGGTCCCCGCACTTTTTGAAGCAGCTTTGTAACTCAGGCTTGCTTGCTCTCTGTGCCCCGGTGTACTTATGGGGCACGTGCGCACTGTTGCCGGAGCAGATCGCGTTACTCATTCTACCATTCTTGCAGAAGCCTGAAGGAGGTCGACGGCCGATTGGCATCATCGCGACCCCATTTCGATTGTTTAGCAGATTGCGACATGGGGGGGCGGAAGAATGGGAGCCCCAACGTCCTCGGCAGTACATGCATGGGGGAAAGGGGAAGAGCCGTGAGATGGCGATCTGGAAGCAGGCCCTGACGAACGAGGCCGCTCGAGCCAGCAAGTTTTCCAGCGCTTGCATGTTGATTGATTTAGAGAAGGCCTACGAGAGGATCACGCATGAACGACTAACCAGGGCTTGTAAGAAACATGGGTTCCGTCTGAGGAGGCTGAGGTTCCTTCTGTTGGTGTACTCAGGCAAGAGAGTGATCAAAGTCGGTGAGGCCGTTTCGCTGCCGTTTGAATTGAACGCCGCGGTCGTGGTGGGCTGTTCGTACGCTACCACCTTGCTCAAGGTGGTCCTTTTAGATGTTTTCGACGCGGCGGCTGCGAGGTGGCCGAGAATTGGTTTAGCTTTAATGGTCGACGACTCGAGCTTGCAGGCAGTCGGCAGTCAGAAGCATGTGAAGCAGCAGCTGGTTAGGTGCACGATGTTCGTTTGCAGTTCACTCGAGCAACTCGAGCTGAAAGTATCTCGCAAGAAGTCGCTGCTGGTGGCGTCGGGCCCGATGTTGGGAAGGAGTTTGCGTCGAGGGCTCAATGAGTTCGGTTTTCGGCGAGTTCTGGCGACTAAAAACCTGGGGGGTGATTTCAAGCTCAGGAGGGGCAAAGGGAGATGTGACCAAACAGCGTCTGTCGACGACGAGGGGAAGGAACGGGAGGTTCAGGGCTCTCAGGTTCTCGAGGAAGCCACTGCACAATGTTTGTCTGGGAGGGCCCGCGCCGGCTGTGATGCACGGCGTCTCGGCCGCGGGCCTCGGTGGCGCGCAGCTAGAGCAACGGGGAGCTCCACGGGGGCAGCGTTGTTTGGGCCTGCCAAGGGCCGCAGCCGCAGTTTACAGTTCTTGTTGGCGGAGGTTGAGAAGTTAGATCCGATGTTCCTCGCCCACTTGTTGCCGCGGCAGATCTGGGTCAGAGCTGTGTTTGATTCGTGGGCGCCCGACGCCCAGATGCAGCGCGCCTTCGACTATGCCGCCAAGGTTAGGAACCAAGGGTGGAGGACAGTCCTAGGCCCAGCTGGAGCGGTGGTCCTCACTCTTCAGAGACTGGAATGGCAGGCGCTCTCTTGGGATGTCTGGGTCAACACCGACGGCGTGACCATCAGGATCAAGGAGATAGGGCCCAGGACGGTGCAAGCCCTAGCGGATGAAACGACCAGGAGGTTGCTGCGCCTGCGAGCTGGAGCTCACTACAATGTCTCATGGGGGCCCTATGTGGAGCCTCTTCGAGCTGAACTTGCCAGATTAGGATGTCTTGGAGATCATCTTGGGGTGAGTCTTCTTATTGCTCAGGTTTCTGGGGGGCTTTGGACGCAATCCGACGTGTTCAGAAAGCAGTTCGTGACTGATGATAGGTGCCAGTGGTGCTTGCAAAAACCAGGAACGGTGTTTCACAGTATCTGGGGATGTGATGGCCCCCAGCTTCTTCGGAGGGATCATGACCACAGTGGGCTAGGAGTTGCTGCTCGGGCTCTTCAGGGGCCAGATATAAGGTGGACTAGAGGCCTGGTGGGCCCCACGCGTCCCCAGTTCCCCAAGATCCTGCAAGGCGCAAGCTATAAGTGGGCGGTCCAGCCCGTCAGTGGAGTTTTAGGAGACACAGTCTGCATCGACGGCTCGGCCTACGACGGCGACATCCGCCGGCTGTTGCGCGCGGGCTGGTCTCTGGTTTCGATTCGCACAGATATGCAGATAGAAGCAGTGGCCTATGGGCCAAGTCCTCTCCCAGTTCAGGGCGTTCAGTCCAGCGAGCTTTACGTATTCTACATGGCCCTGCTGATGGGGCCCCAGATCCACGTGCTAACCGATTGTAAAATGGTGTATGATGGCTGGAATGCGGGAAGGGAGGGGACGGAGAAAAGCAACAAGTGTTATGCAGAGCTCTGGCGACAGATCTGGAACAGGATAGACGACGTCGGAGTTAATTCGGTGAACGTCAGCTGGATGCCGTCGCGCATGTCGAAGGCAACGGTTGAGAGGCGCGGCTACGAGCCGCACTGGTTTCGGGGCAACCAGGAGGCCGACTCCTGGGGGAAGGCTGGGGCCAAGGCGCGTCCACACATTCATCACCTACGTGATCGCCTGCGGTTCCATCATGATCAGGTTCCGTTCATATCCAGATATGTGGTGGCAGTTCTCAAACACGTCCACGAGCTGGGTTATCCTGGTGTATCATCCTACTTTGCGCGAGCCAAGCGGGGGCCCACAAATTCGGACACCCCGATTTTACAGATAGTCCCAGATGATGAGGGTCATGTAATCTCACAGGCTCCCTGCAGTGGATGGGGGTGCAGTGTGTGCGGCGATTCGAGGGCGGTCCGTTCTCGGCTGGTGCAGCTGCCGTGCCCTGGGGTCCCGAGGACCGTTGCTCAGGCCCACCCCACCCACCGTCCGTCTCTGGCAGAATGGAGGTTTTACCTGGTGCGTGCGATGTAGAGCGTATGCCCGCTCTCAGGCCAAAGAATTAAGCAAGCAATGTCAGGGAAGACCTGACACTGAATGGACAGTGAAGGCCCTGGGACTTTTGAACAGGGGAAGGATCCCTCGCATCCCAAGCGTGAGGTGGTCATTGCTGTTCCTCCCAGAAGGCCATAACTTGTTGTCACCCACCAGGGCAGGCGTCTTGTGTCATCGGGACGACTGCTGAGGAGCGCAAGACCGCAAGAGGAGGAGCAAGAGGAGGAGGAGGAGGAGGGGGAGGAGGAGGAGGAGGAGGAGGAGGAGCAAGAGGAGGAGAAAGAAGAGGAGGGATGGGAGGAGGAGGAGGAGGAGGAGGAGGAGGAGGAGGAGGAGGAGGAGGAGGAGGAGGAGGAGGAGGAGGAGGCGTAGCCCTGGGAGGCTCGGCTCTTGCTGGGGGCGCTGGCCGCCCCCGCCCTTCCCCCCCAGGACCGTCAAGTCCGCGATCAAGTCGGAGCGGGACCCCCGCCGGCTGCAGATGCTGGAAATCAGGCAGAAGGCGCGGGCGGGCGCCTCCACCTGGGTTTCCTGGGTCCTTCTTGCCTGGATCCGGCAGCAGGGCATGCGGGCGGGAAGCCACGGGGGATAATTTCAAGCGGTGGTGAAGACATCCAGGCTTCCTAGATGGGGTTCGAGTAGTGGGATCGGAGGATCGCGCCGCATCGCCGATGCATCGGCAATGCGGCTCGATGTGGAGCCCGTGTTTCTCCACGCTGACGGCGCTCTTGCATCGCTGACGTCGCCGATGCATCGGCGATGCGGCGCGACCGTCCGACCCCATCTACTCGGACCCCATTTTGGAGGCCTCGAAACAAGGCATTTGGGCGGGGGGTCCTCTGGGTGATCTCGATGGGGGGTCAAGAAGTCATCGAGGATAAAGGAACACTTAACCCGAATATCAGAGTGCAGACGTGGCATCACTGAGGTCCCCGTCGTTGCATCAGGGATAATTCTGGGCTGTGTGTTCTGACACATCCGTAGAGAAGGCCCCCTATCCTTCAGGCTTGTGGCCCTCACAACTTAGGTCCCCTCCCAAAGGTCTAGCGGTCCTTTAAGTGCTATTCAAGAAAGGGGCCCTAAAGGGACTCGTTAGGGCCCTTATTTGCAACCACCTCCTTACCACCCGCACGAAGCATGGGAGACGGGCATGTCCTTACAATTCCGTCGTCAGGACGCAGTAGCGTGCGCTGGCGTCTGGTAGTCGAGGAGAAAGCGCAGACTCATCGTCGATGAGCGTCGAATTAGCGTCGATCAGCGTCAATGTAGCGTCGAGGTAGCGTCGATGAACGTCGATCAGCTTCTGCTAGCGTCAAGTCGCGAGAGCCAGCAAGATGGCATGGGAGGCTCCCATGAGTTGCCAAGGAATGGTCCTCCCCAGGGTATCAGCGTCATCTTTCTTTGGATGACTGCGGGGGGGGGCTGAGGGGATATGGGGGGTTTAGGTGGATGCTGCGCTAAGTGATGTCTGGCCTAAGCTAGCTCATGAGCAGGTTGCACCTGCCCCTGGGTGCCTACGCGGGTTGGGTAACTCCCGTAGGCGGGCTCCGCCCACGTAGCCTGTAGAGCTCTGCCCGCCCCGAGCCGCCCAGGGCACCTGCGGCCCCCTCAGAAGCCAGGTTCGGCCAACACACAACTTGCCTTGCGGCCAGTGTGAGCCCGCAGGAGCCCCTCCTCCTCCTCCACCTCCTCCGTCTCCTCCTCCTCCTCCTCCTCCTCCTCCTCCTCCTTCCCCCTGAGCCCCCCGCCCACGGTCGTCCAAGTACCCCGAGGGGCGCGAGGATGGCCATGCCTCCTGCGTCGGGGGCTGGGTTGGAGACGGCTGCCCTCTTCCCGGCTTGGCGGCGCGAGGGCGCGAGGAGCATGGCGCACCGTGGGGGGCCGTGCGCGAAGAAATCAGGCGACTTCGGGCCTTAAGGACAGCAAGACAGGGGGAGGGTCCAGGTTCTCGACCTCTCAGGGGTTGTTTCTGGGCGCTGCGGGGCCGTCAAAGGGGATCCGGGGCGAACCTCCAGTGACTATGTCCATCTTCTCGAAGCAGATCGGGCGGACGGGGGGGCAGACTCCTTCTGAGCCATCTCCTGGAGGAGGCGGTGCTGCTCCATGTTCGGCCTCCCGAGGCGTGTATCGCACCCCAGGGCAGACGAAACACTGTGTAGGATAAACTCGGATGCCTAGAGGTTGACACAACACCAATATCGGCGCTGTGCCTCCACCGAGGGAGGATGAGTCCGATCTCGGTGATGGTGGTATTATTCGAGCTCTCGAGGTGGTCGAAGGATTACCGCCAACATCAAAACCTGTAATTATCTTGGCCCAGTGGAGGCAACCCCCTGTGTTGGTTCTGGTGCCCATTTTCAAGCCTCCAATTAACAGCTTGCCTGGATGGACCCCTGGAGGTGTCCAGGGGGGCAGACTTCGGACGGAGTTTGTTCTGGAGGCGGGAGGATCTACAAGGGGAAACGCATATCCAGTCGAGACCTCGCGGCTCCTTGGGGCGTTTGCGAACTGCGCCACCGTGGCCACCTTCGTGGGCTCTTGGGAGGCCCAGCGGGGAGGATGGGGGACACGCACCTCCAGTCGAGACCTCGCTGCTCCCTGGGGGGGGGGGGGGCTGCCATCTGCGCGAGCATCGCAAGTTTCTTGGGCTCCTGGGATGCTCAGCGGCGGAGTGGCAGGGGGCGCGCATATCCGATCGAGACCTTGCGGCCCCTTGGGGGCTGCGAACTGCTCAACTGTCGCCACTCTCGTGTGCTCCTCGGAGGCCCAGCGGGGCTGGGGCACATGCAGATCCAGGCGAGACCTCGCGGCTGTCGGGGGGGCTGCCAGCTGCGCAGTTGTCGTCGTTTGCGTAGGCTCCTGGGAGAGGTCCAGCGGAGCGGAGGGACACGCAGATCCAGTCGAGACCTCGCGGCTCCATGGGGGGGTTGCCAGGTGCGCAGTTGTCGTCACTTTCGTGTGCTCTTGGAAGGCCAAGCGGAGTGAAGGGACACGCGGATTCAGTCGGGCCCTCGTTTCTCGCCTCTTTTGGGCATAGCGGCACTCTTCGAGCCATCTTGAGACACCTTGGAGGCCGCTTGGGCCATCTTCGGCCGCTTGGGACACCTTGGAGGCCGCTTGGGCCATCTTGGGCGGGCCATCAGGGGCATCTGGGGCGAAACGACTGAGCCTAGCACATCAGTGGGCTCCAGTCCGGTAAGCGGGCCCCGCCAACTCAGCCCAGGTCTCTGCTCCCCGTAAGCCGTTCAGGGCACCTGCAGCCCATTCGTTAGCTAGGATCGGCCAGGCATCATTTGCCTCAGCGTTGTGGAGGACGATCCATGGAGAGGAAGCATGTTGCCACATAATTACCCGATGTCTAACACATGTGTTAAACAATGTTTTAAACATGTGAAAACCATGGTTCGACCAGGCTTACAACATTTTTCCTACATTCCAAACACATTCAAATTCAATGATAGGACTGTAAGGGTGTCCGTTGTCGTGGCATCCACAGCTCTACCGCCTTTTACGTTGCACCTTCGGGGGACCTCGCTTGTCCCCAAACCTGGCGCCTTCTCCTGGGCCCGCCGCTGGCTCCCTGCGGACTCGACGCCGATTCGGCGTGGGCTGGGCGCGGACTCGACGCGGACTTGCCACGGGGCCGACGAGTTCGACGCGGACTCGGCACGGGCTCGACGCGGAGAGGGCCGCGGCGGGAGAGGCGAGGCCACCCGAGTACAGTCGGGGCCCTGAAGAAGGAACCCTTTTCGTTGGGGAGGGGCCCCGCGTTCCTTAAGTGTTTCGCAGCTTGCCTCAGGTTTTCCTCAGGTTTTCGATGGGAAATCGAACTTCAACTGATGGGAAACAGTGGCCTCGTTCCTTATTTGGGGTTCCGTAGGTCAACGCCCCGACTGTATGCAACGCAACCCCTTTAGCAACCCCCGCGGTCATCCCAGCGGGGGCTCGGGGCGGCCCCTGGGTCCCCCATTCTGCGGCGGGCACGCCGCCGGGCGCCCCCCTCTGCCATGGGTCGTGCCGCCCTCGTTGGGGCCTCTGGGAGGCATGTTGTGAGCTATCTGGAGCCACGCAGGGCTGTCTTGCGCGATCTCGGAGGCCATCTTGGGCTCTCTGAGGCACCTTGGAGCCATCTCAGGCTATCTTGGACGCCCCGGCATCTCGCGAAGGCCCCCTTCAGGTCCAGGGCAGGGGGTTGGGGGGAGGCGTTAAGCTACCCACCCGCCCGCACGCCGTCTAGCTCACCCCCGCCCGCCCTCCCAACACACAAGTAACACTCGAGCCTCAGCATGCTCAGCATTCGTCTTTGGATGGGCAGATACTGGGAACCCAAACCGAGCCCATATGCGCGACGCTGGGTCGAGGTGCGCCACGCGTGCCAGGCGCGCCACGCGCGCCAGGCACCCCTGGGGCGCGAGAGTGCCAGGCACGCCTGGTGCGCCAGATGCACCACGTGCTGCGAGTGCGCCAGGTGTGCCGCATGCTTCTCCGCGCCAGGTGCGCCACGTTCGGGGCACGTACAGAGTGCGTCCGTGCGCCCGCGCACGTGACAACACACATCGGGAAACATGTCGGACCCCACCATCCTTGTCATAAACCAGTGCCCATCGTTGTGTCTGGTGGGCCTGCGCACAGCAGGCCACGCGCCACCACCCCCGCCGTCCCTTTCAAAAACCATCTGGATCGCGGGAAGGCCGCGCGTGATCCGGATTTAGCCGCGAGGTGCGTGTTGTACTTTTTTTGTCAGGGATGGTAGCCCTGCGCGCAGCAGGGAATATGCTGACACCCCTGCCGCCCCTGTCGAAGACAATACAAAGTGCTCGCGGGCCTCACGAACATGACCCCAGACTTAGCCCCACAGTGTACTTTGTATTGTTTATGATCGGGATGGTGGGGGGGGCGCATCGGTTTGGTTGCGCATCTTCGAATTTGGAGGCGGGGGGTGAGCATGGTTCCTGGTTGGCTGCCAGTCACCCTGGGGGAGGGTTTGACAACCCCTCCCAGACGGGGAGGAAGGGGCTTTAGGAAGAGGAGAGAAAGACATCGTTAGACCACCTGTGCCCAGAGGGTTGGTGGGATCAGTTACCCCCTATGGGGGGTTCTGGAGACCTATCGCTGTTAATTCGTATTTCGTTCGGAACGCTACTTTCCAGCGGGCGAGTCGAAGCTACCCTCAGGGAGGGTCCCATGGCAATTGTAATGCAGACGGGGACCGGTTCTACTAGCAGTTTTACCCGACGTGGGCTTGGCGTTCAGTGACAATTCATCGAAGTTGGAATGGGCATGCCTGTCGGGCATTGATTTTCTGGACGAGCATAGTTTGCGAAACCACGCCACTAGCAACACATCGAAGTTGGAATGGGCATGTCAGTCGGGATTAACTAATCTGCATATCACTCCATTGGTTTTCTGGACTAGCTTAATTTGCAAATCACTCCACCAGAAATAATTTACCGCCACGCTTTCTGTCATGCGCGAGTGTTGCAGCGATGGGGAGGCCATACATGTATTATGGTTCAATTATCGTTGCATGGCAAGCTGCAGTAGATGCTACTGCATTCCTGTCAAGGTTGTGTAACTCGTTTCGATTCGCTGGCGTTGATTCATGTGCCACCCGTCCAAGTTGTCTACGATGATTGTCTCCATGAACTCAGGCGTTGAAGCTCACGGCCAACTCCATGTACGGCATTGCTCTTTGATGCCAAATCGCAATGCTGCCATCGATCTGGGCCACTTGTATCGCAATCGTACCTAGACAGGTCATCGGATCTTTTATTCGTGTTGCTCATGCGATGCTGTCAACAGAGCGTGTTTGGAATCCTGTGTCGTCGAAGAGAGTGGCATCGATGTCGTTGGATTCCCTCTGGGTCTCATTTTGAGAGGTCAAGGCTGCCGGTGATGTGTGATCTGTGGTAGTTTCAGGGCGACCCTCGGATGCCTGGTGTTCCTTTTGGTCTAACCTTTCGAGTGGATGTCAGCTCTCGTGTTCCCTCCGTTGCTTCAGCCTCCTTCTCTCGCCATCCGTCCCCATCCTCCCGCCCACCTGGCGGCGGCCCTCGCCGCCAGGGGGGGCCGGTGCGAGTCTGAGAAATACATTCGGTCCGTCGGCCGTTTTTGTTGGCATGTTGCGGTTTCTCCGAACGTTGGCACATCAATGCTCATGTTCCGCGCCCCATCGGGGGTCCCAATTGCGGTCCCAGCCTGGATGTGCGCATGCATCCGCCACCACCCGCCTCCCACCTGCCCGTCGCTCTCGCCTGCCCGCTCCGAGCAGCCGCTGTCTGAGAGGAGGGCCGCTCCTCTGCGCTGAGCGCAGCTGTGCTGGGCTGTGTCCCTCACTCACCCTGGTCCCTGGCCTTCCTGCCACTGCCCCGCTCAAAGTGGTTGCCCCTCTCCAGACCTCCACCTTCCTGGTTCCCAGACTGCCACGTGTTTTCTGCTCCTAGCCTCCCTCCTGCTAATCTCTCTCATGCTCCATCCTTTTTCCTCCCCCTTCCATCCGCTCTCTCTTCCCCAACTTCAGGGGCTGCACCAATCACGCGTGGCAGGCAAGGAAGATATACCCCCAGGGGGGTACGATCAAAGACGAAGAGGGCGGGTACAGCGGGCTGGGGAGATACGTGCTGAATGGCACGCGTGCAGGTAATACCACGCCTGGTTTTCTGTGCAATGTATTCCGAAATCGCTCTCTCGCGCGGGTCGTTCTCACAATTCATGTACGCATCGCTCTCTCGCGTGGGACATCCCCGCAATTTATTCAGACGCCGCGCCCTCCACACTCAGGCTCGCTTTGTTTTTTTCGCGCGATTTACTTTGGAATCGCGTTATCGCTCGAGAATTCCTCGCGATTCATGCGGGACCCACGCTGCAGCAACCCGCCTGCTCGACATCGTCGCCTGGGCCCGCCTTCCCGACCTGCCCGCTATGGGTCTTCCCACCCGATCTGCCCGTCGGGTTCTACCAGTCGTTTTCTGCTAATTGCCCCCCTCCTGCTAATTTCTCTCGTGGTCCATTATTCTCCCTCCCCCCTCCACTCGTCCTCGCTTCCCTTGTTGTAGGGGCACATGCACGTGGCAGGTAAGGAAGATATACTCCCAAGGGGTTACGATCGAAGACGACGAGGGTACCGAGGCTTTGAGATATACGTATTAATCGGCACGTGAGCAGATAGGAGCGAACAGTCTTAAACTGATTGTTGTTGTCGTCGTCGTCTTTGTTGTTAATGTTGCTGTTGGGGGGCAGGGGTCCAACATTAATATTGCTTTATAGATTTCTACTCAGCAGTAACAATCATTATAATACTGTTTGCTCTTACCTGCTCGCGAGTCGCTCAACATGTAAATCCCAACAAACCCTCGATGCCCGCCCTCTTCGTCTTCGATCGTGCCCCCCCTGGGGATGGATCTTCCTCACCTGCCACGTGCAGTTGGCGCAGATCGTACAACAGCGGGCGGGAGGGAGGAGTGAAGGGACAAGGGGGGAGGAAGACGGATGGAACACCGGAGGGATCAGCAGGGAGGGAGTTGGGAGCAGGAGCGCAAGCGGCAGAACCAGACGGGCGAGGGCGGGCGGACCCTGGCGGGCAGGTCGGGCGGGCGGGCCTAGAAGGCCAGGACGAGCGGGCGCGTCGCTGAAGCGTCAGGCCTGCGCGAATCGCGAGGGAGTCTCCAGCGGTAGCGCCATTCCCAAGCAAATCGTGAGGAAGTCTCGAGCGGGAGCGGGAACCCTGTGAGAGTCGAGGACGCGGCGCTTGAATAACACTTGCATGTAAGTCCCACGCGAAGGCGGGATTCCTGGGCAACCTGCCAGAAGCCCAGCGCGAGAGTTCGATGTTGAAAAAGTTTGCGGAAATGTCAGGCGGGAACCGTTGTTGTTGTTGCAGTTTGAGGGCCATGGGCGCAGTCTGAGCCCCCTGACTCCCCCTTGTGAGAAGCAGGGTGCGAGTCTTGGGAGGGACATTTGATTTGACTAATACTTGGTGTACCGTGGGGAAGAAGGGAGGGAGGAGGGAATGAACAAGGGGATTGAGAAGGATGGAATATGAAAGATATTAGCAGGAGGGGGGGGTAGGATTGGGCTCATCGTTCCTGCGTGATTCCTGCGCGTCGTGGGCTCGGCGTTTGAATACGTTGCGAGGAAATCCCACGCGAGAACACGATTCTTTGGTTAATTGTGAAGAGGTGCCGCGCGAGAGCGTGATATTGAATACAGCGTGAGGAAGTGTCAGGCGCGTGCCGTTGTTGCTGTTGTTGCTGTTGTTGTTGTTGTATTTCTGGGGCCAGGGGCCCAGTCTGGGCTCCAAGACTTTCCTTCGCGAGAAGCAGGGTGCAAGCTCTGGGAGGACGCCTTCACTTGACAACAAGCTGATATGTTACCGCGACGGGTGGTCAACAAGAACTATTGCCGAGGAGTGGGAATATGACACCAGCGCGGGGGGGGGCAACAATCACTTCCCTCTTAGAGTCTTAGAAGTGAGGATTTCGCAACAAAAGCAGCATGGCTCTGCAAAGTCGCTCTTCGTTCCTCCCCCCCTCCTGCCCCTCCCCCCCCTCCCCGAAGGGGGGACCCTGACCCCCTCCCCACTTCGGCGCCGGGGCTCGCCGAGGCTGCCTGGGCTTCCGCAACAGCCGCTTCTACGCCAAGCCGCTCGCCGCGCTGATCACCTCAAAGGGCCGCGAGGCGGCCTCGCGCCAAGAGAGGTTCGAAGGGTCGAGGTTCGATGTTATGGCCTCCTCCTCATCCGCCTACTCCTCCTCCGTTCCTCCTCTTCGTCCTCCTTCTCCTCCTTCTCCTCCTTCTCCTTCTTCCCCTCCTCCTCCTCCTCCTCCTCCTCCTCCTCCTCCTCCATTCCTCCGTTTCTCCGTTTCTCCTCCTCCTCCTCCGTTCCTCTTCCGTTCTTCCTCCTCCTTCGTTCCTCCTCCGTTCCTCCTCCTCCGTTCCTCCTCCGTTCCTCCTCCTCTTCCTCCTCCTCCTCCTGTTTCTCTGTTCCTCCGTCGTCCTCCTCCTCCTCTCTCCTCCTCCCCTCTTCCACCTCCTTCCTCCTCCTCTCCTCCTCTTCCTCTCCGTTCTTTTCCTCCTCCTCCGCCAGCACCTCCTCCGTTGCTGGCGCCATTTCAGAGCCTCTCCTCGATTTGGAGGCGTGAGGATAGAGCTCAAACACAATTCTTCTCCTCCTCCTCCTCCTTCTCCTCTTCCTCCTCTTCCTCCTCCCTCTTCCTCCTCCTCCGGCCCCTCCTCTCTCTCGCTCTCTTCTCCTCCGTTCTTTCCTCTCCCCCACCTCCACCTCCTCCACCTCTCCTCCTCGTGCCCTTCCTCTTCTTCCTCCTCCTTCTGCTCCTCTTCGAGGATTCGATTCGGCGGCGGGCGAGGGGTGAAGTGGGAAGGAGAAGGCCTTTTCAGCAGGCGGCGGGGCTTCTCTCAGAGGCCCTCGATAAGTTTTCTTCGTCTTGGGGGTAGGTCTGGAAAACTTTTCAGAAGGGGACTTCCGAGCCTTCTGAGAAGGCCCGCCGCTTCTCACTTCTCCCCCAGGATCGCCGCCGATCTTGGCTCTAAGTTTGGGTTCGATGAGGTTGTTTGGCTTTTTCTGACTCGCGGGTCCGTTCTCTGGCCTCGGGACAGTCAAAACAACGGTTCTGGGGCGAATAATTGCAGCAAGCGGACTTGGAGAGGGGTCTGGGGACAGATGTTGAAGCAGATGTTGCCTCATCCAGCCGCCAGCTCGGACCCGCAGGCCCCCTCTAACGCGCGGCGGCTTCACGGCAAGAGAGTTCTGCAGGGTCGAGGTTTGGTCCGCATCGTCGATCAAGGACGCGACATTTTTGGAGCGAGCGCACCCCTGGAGAGGGCCGAGGAGCAGCGGCATCGGCACCCCTTCGTTCCCCAGTCTGGCCGAGCCCCGGCGCTTGGGGCCGTCCTGGAGTCCTCTTGTGCCCCCCGCGGGGCTCTCTTGGGCCTGCGCGGAGCCATCTTGAGGCCGCCGTGGGGCATCCGAAGCCAAAGGGTGACAGGGCAGGCGTCATTGATGTCCCTCAGGCTTCCGTCCAGCCATCCACACGCAAATATCTGGCGCCGACGGCCGCCAGCAGGCCCCCGAAGGACCCCTCGAGAGGACCCAAGAGGGCCCACGGAGGCCCCGAAACGGCCTAAAAACAGGCGCCCCGAGATGCCTCAGAATTGCTTTCAAGAGGCTGCCCAGGTGTTTTTCCCCCGAGGGGCGAACAGGCCTTCAAGAGGTCTCACACAAGCAACCCAGGCACGGTGGCAGACTTTACCAGCCTGGAACATAACCCTATCCCTATGCTGGGCACCTCCTCATCACGATGCCAATCTTAGGGATTCCCTTATTTTTTGAGGGCGAATCCCTAAGATTGTCATCGCCTTTTGGCGTGTCAATCTTAGGGATAGGGATGCGTTCGAGGCTGGTGAAGATTGTGCAGAAGGCCACCAGGAGGGGCACACATGGACGAGGGGTACGGTGGCCCCATCCACTTTGTGTCCTCATCTTGCTCTTCGTCTTCAATGGCTCCACTTCTCCCTGTGCTCCTGTCCCTCCTTCCCGTCCTGCCCTCGTCTTCGTCGCCGCCGTGCTTCTGGACTCTTCTCACCATTCTTGGTACCTCCAAACCGCCCCCTTGTCCCCTTCGTCGTCCTCCAGGAGACCTCCGTGCTCAGGGAAGGGCTGTTTACTGTGCGTTCCCTTAGCGCTTTCAGATGAGAGTCATATCCGAATCCGTCGCCCAACCCTCGGTATCTCACTGCGGGGCAACCATCAGGGCACCCATGTGTTCTATTTAGAGACACCGATCTATCGGCAGAGCACGATCTAGCCATCTATCTCACGTTCTATACATATACATGTACATATTTGTATGTCGAATTCTCTATCTATCTATCTGGGCAACCATCGGGAATTCCATCGGGACAATGATCGGGACAACCGTCGGGACAACTGTCCGGACAATCAGCGGGAGAACCATCGGGGCAAGCATCGGGAAACATTTCGGGACAACCATCGGGACAATCATGGGGATATCCATCAGGACAATCGTCGGGTCAGCCATCGGGAAGGTCATCAGGACAAACATCGGGACAACCACCGGGCAACGGTCGGCGAGGGGTAGTACTTCGTCTTGTCTGATTCGGCCTTAGCCTGTGGAGGATCTCGCGCAGCTTGTTCTCGCACGCGTGTCACGCACGCACGCACGTCATGGCTGGAGCACCTCACGCTGGACGTCGGTCTCACCCACCAACTTCCGATGTATAGTCGGCGCGTGCACGCACTAAGCCGGTCGCACTCCCCATTCAGGGTGCGACGTCACGGTCCAAGATTCTGAATTATGGATGTTCACGTACATTGGAAATATTTGTCAGAACGCCATTGGTTGTCAAATTACGTTGTACGTCGCAACAGATGATTCGAGTACGCCTGTGGTTATCATTGCAGGTACGTTCTTGGATCGCAAGCTGTAGCAATACCATCGGTTACCCCCGGTCTCTTGCCGACTGCTACCGCAAGGTTCAGAGACACCACTTGCGCTAAACTCACCGCCAGGTGTGGCAGCACACCAGCGCTCGACTGCGCCACCTCCTGCACCTCATTACTGGCACCTGGCGGCAACGCTCCAGACGCCCTCGCAGGGGTGCCCATGGGAGCGACCATCTCCCCACTGCTCTGGCGTACATCCTGAAGCTAGTTTGATATGAACCTCGGTGCGCACGTGCATGCCGGGGTCTGGGCCCAAGATGGGCCCGCAGAAGCGGAGGTGTATATCGGCGGCGAGTGGGGGGGAAGTGAGAAGCAGAAGGCATTCAGAGAAGGCGGCGGGGCTTCTCAGAAGCCCTCGCATCCTCTGAGAGGTTTTCTGTGTCTCCAGGGAAGGCTTAGGAAACTTCTCTGAGGGCCGGGGGACTTGTGAGCCTTTTGAGAAGGCCTTTTCCTTCTCATTTTGCCCCAGGCTCGACGCTGAGTATTCGCTCCGTCTCCGTGCGTGCTCCCTCGCCACTTCGGAGGCCTCCGGAGTCGGAAAGGGCCCAACGCGCTCCCCGTCTCCCCCCTGTCCCCGTCCATCGCCCTTCCCCTGCGGCCATTCGCGGATCCCAGCCCCGCGCTCAGATTCTGAAGCCCCGCCGGTGTTCTAAGTCGGCGGCGGGCGAGAAGGGGAGGTGAGAAGGAGAAGGCCTTCTCAGAAGGAGGCGGGGCTCCTCAGGAGCCCTCGCGCCTTCTGAGAAGGTGTCTGTGTCTCCAGGGAAGGCATCAACAAAAACGTGGTGAAGGCCGGGGGACTTCCGAGCCTTCTGAGAAGGCCCGCCCCTTCTCACGTCCCCCGGGCTCGACGCCAACTAGAGATGTGGCCTGCAAAGGCAGGCTGCAAATGCTGTGACCTTCCTCAGGGAGGAGAAGGAGGACGAGGAGGAAAAGGAGGAGGCGGAGGAAGAGAACGAGGAGGAGGAGGAGGAAGAGGAAGAGGAAGAGGAGGAGGAGTAGGAGAGGGAGAAGAGGGAGGAGGAGGAGGAGGAGGAGCGGAGAGGGAGGAGAGGGAGGAGGAGGAGGAGGAGGAGGAGGAGGAGGGCGAGGAGAGGAGGAGGAGGAGGAGCAGGAGGCGGAGGAACAGGAGGAGGAGGAGGAGGTGCTGCCAGAGGTTGCCCTGGACATCGTTCGGGTGTGTGCCTTTTTGCTCGTTGCGGAGGAATGTACGCACGACGTGGACACATTCAAGAAGGAACAACGTCATAAACATAATCTTTCGGCGCTCCGCGCGGGATTTCGTGGATTCGCGCTGGGACCCCCTGGCGGCGCCTCCGGTGCCGCCCCTGGTGCGCTTCGCGCGCCAGAGAGGGGGTTCCAGCGCGGATCCGAGAAATCCGCGCGGAGCGCCAAAAGTTCATGTTTATGCCGTTTTTTCTTTAAGCATGCGCGTGGAATGGACGGCCTGGCGATGGCGAGGGCCGCGCAAACGGTGGTCTAATGATGCCGGTACATCCAAAGTCTGGGTATGAATGCCAAGACAGAGAATCGGCACCAATAGCAAGAAGAGCATACTCTCGACGATGGTGTCGTGCACTTGCCGTGCTGAGCGCTCTCTGCGTTGCGCGCCCATGCCCCTCGACGGGACAGCCCTACTGAAGTGGCATCCGTCCGACCGTCCTCTCCCTCCTGCTTCCTGTCCTCCTCCTCCCTCTCTTCCTCATCCTTCTGCTCCTCCGCTTCAGTCCCCAATGTGAGCGACGCCAGAAAATAGACGGGTCCGACTGCGTGGACGCGTTTGCGCGCAAGTTGCCCGCGCGAGGTCGCGCGTGAGCGGCCTCGTTTCCTTGGGGCGGCAAGCCGCCGCGAAGGCTCGCTGTGTGAGGAGGAGGAGGAGGAGGAGGGGGAGGAGGAGGAGGAGGAGGAGGAGGAGGAGGAGGAGGAGGGGGAGGAGGGGGAGGAGGGGGAGGAGGGGGAGGAGGAGAAGGAGGAGGAAGAGGAGGAAGAGGAAGAAGAAGAGGAGGAAGAAGAGGAGGAATAATAACATGAAGAGGAGAAGTAGGAGGATGTGATGAGGGGGGACCACATGCGAACCTTACCCCACCACCCCACGATTTCGAAGGGGGGAGGTGGGGTTCATGTCGCTCGGGAGGTCCAGAACGAAGGGACCCCCACCTCCCCTCTAAGAAGTCGCGGGGTGGCGGAGTAGGGTTCGCATGTGGCCTCCTCTCTTCGTCGCTCAGATGTCCAGAGCACGGTTCGTAAGTAGTCATTATGGCTCGAGCTCGAGTCGCCTTGGGGCGGGGCCGCACGGTTCGGCAGCAAGTCACGGGAGTTTCGCATGCCTTCGGAATTTCTTCTTCAGAGCGCACTAGCGTGCGCCATTGTCTTGTGATCGATGAGAGAGCGCCGATGTAGCGTCGAGTTGGCGTCGGGTAGCGTCGGTCAGCGTCGGCTAGCGCCGATGAGCGTCGACGAGCGTCGATTAGCGCCAGCCCTCGTCGATTCGCAAGAGCAGGCAAGATGACATGGGAGGCTCCCATGGTTTGCCACCGATGTTTCCGTGATTCGCCATCCTGGCTTGCGGGGCGGGGCCACACGTCAGAATCGTCTCATTGATCCCCATCCCCACCTGGCCATTGAATCTCCGCACCACCATTCCACCCTCTCAGTTCCGGATATGCCCTAGGAAACTTGAAGGGAAAGCACATATCCCTATCTTGGGGTAGTTCATCGGCCAGTGGAACCAAGGCCACGCCAGTCCACCACAAAAATACTTACACCGACGCCTTCCAACGGATTGCTCCTGGGCCTCAGGGGAGGGTGGCGATGTATAAATCACCATTGCGAGCCAGCGCCTTTCTATCCACACCGAGTCCCTCCCTGAATTACATGCAAAATTAGTCGGAGGGCGTCTGTGTTTACATGTTCGTGGCCTATTCTAGGCCTCACGGATGGTGTCGGAGAAGGTGGGTTTGATAGCATGTCATGGGCTCCGTCTCTAGTCTGCACCAGCGTCGCTCAGCGTCGGGCAATCGGCGGGATATAACGCCGATCTAGCGTCGACTATCGTCGGCTGACATCAATGAGCGTCGAATTCGCGATTCCTTTTTTTTCCGCAGTTGTTCTCGTGGCGTAGATGGGGATCGGTGAGGCGATGCTTAGCACGGGGTCGCCCTGGCGCGGGAGGCGGCAGCCCCCAGCGGGCGCCGCCCGGCGACCCTCCTGCGCATGTCCAGCGCCGTCGCCCCGGAGGCATGAACGCGTCTGTCCGTACGGTCGAGAGTCGGAGGAGGAGGAGGTGCCGATGCCGCTGCCTCTCCCGTTGTTCCCCTTTTTTTGTTCGGCCTCCTGGGAGGCCCTCGTCGCTGCCGCTGGATTCGCCTCGAAATCCTGGTCATAACGCGCCCTGGGCGAGGTCTGGGGAGTAGCGGCATCGGTTCCGCTCGGTGTCCCGCAGAATGGTTTCGTGTGAGATTCGAGGTCTTCCCACGTTCTCGTGTGTGTTTTTGTTAGCTTCGTCCCAGCCTCAAGCCGGGCCTGTCCCTCTACGGGAGGAATCTTCAAGAATAGTAGAAAAATAGTCCGGGGACGATTGGCTCACCATTTTCGAGTATTTTGGGGCGCTTTTGTTGCAATATTCCATTTTTCGTCCAAAACTCCCCGTTAGGGGGACAGGCCCGACTTGATCCCAGCCTCGGGGTGCCTCCCAGTGGCGCGCCTCGCCGGAGGGCGCGAACGCGCGCGAAAGGGCGCCAGAGAGCCGAGCTGCGACCCGAGAGCAAGTGCGATCGGCATGGGCACGGGAAGCACACGTGCGCCTCCTCCTCCCCCCTTCTCCTCCCTCCTCCTCTCCCTCCTCCTCCTCCTCCTTCTCCTCCTCCTCCTCCTTCTCCTCCTCCTCCTCCTCCTCCTCAGCCTGCTCCTCCACCTCCTCCTCCTCCTCCTCATCCTCCTCCTACTCCTCCTCCGCCTCCTGCTCCTCCTCCTCCTCCGCCTCCGCCTCCGCCTCCCCCTCCTCCTCCTCCTCCCTCTCCCTCCTCCTCCTTCTCCTCCTCCTCCTCCTCCTCCTCCTGCCTCCTCCTCCTCCTCTCCTCCCCTCCTCCCCTTCCCCTCCTCCTCCTCCTCCTCCTCTTCCTCATCCTCCTCCTCCCCTTCCTCCTCCTCCTCCTCCTCCTCCCCCTCGTTGTCGGTGTCGCCGCGGGCGGTGCCCATTTGAGGCAGACGGCCGCCTGTCCAACAGCGGCCGCGCTCGGTGGTGAACTGCACTCGCTTTTCGGCATCGTGCAGTCGACCCGCAGCATAAGGATGGGCAACCTTCCAAAGGGAACCTTTGCATCCGTGCATCCTTGGCCCATCCTTGGCCACTCTCGCTGGCCGCGCTCCGCTCGAAAAGGTTTGCAGTGGCCCCCAAGGCATTTGCATCCTTATCGCGCAGCCTTACGATACGTGCCAGTGTATCCATTGTTTCCGTACCGAAGTCTGTGCAGGGTCTGGTCCGAGCCCTAGAGGGTAGCACCAGCACCAAGATCGGCGGTGTGGTTCCACCGAGGGAAGATGATGCCAATCTCGGCGACGGTGGTAATATTTGAACTTCCCAGGCGGCCGAAAGGTCACCACAACCACCACCATCTAGGACCATCTTTCCCCGGTGCAGGCCCCCCCCCCACCCCACCGTCTGTCGTTGCTGTTGTTGCTTATTTCTAAGCCTCCAACTTGGTGGGCCCTGGCAGCGACAGGGCACTCGGTAGCAGATCATGGGGGCGTGGTATGTTCTCGGAATTCCCACCTGTCGTGGCACCAACTTTTCGTAGGTCGGACCTCGACCTGCAAAGTCAGGAAGAGCCCCAGACTCGGGTGAATTTCGTTCTGGAGTTTGTTGTGAATTTCGAGCGCTTTTTTCTCATAGGGAAATGATGCTCAATACAAAACCACGCGAAATTCACTGCACTTTTCGTTCACCGTTGTTGGGTGTTTCATTTTCGGTCATCCACGGAAGTTTTCTCTGTAGCCCGTCTGCAAGACCAGAGCCATGAGCCTTGGTGGACCCTGCAAGCGGCAGGGCAGTTTTCTTGCACCGTGTCTGTGGGTTTTCTAGTGCATGTTCTCCGAATAGGCTTGCCCTATAGGATTTCTAACTCTAACCGTACTAATTGGTCCGTTGCCCTCCCCCAATTCCTATGCCCCCCCTAATTCCTATGGCTATGCCTATGCCTATGCCTATGCCTCCCCGTCACTCCTATGTCTACGCCTATGCCTATGCCTATACACCACCTCTGAGCACTCCTATGCCTATGCCTATGCCTATGCCTATGCCTATGCCTATGCCTATGCCTATGCACCACCTCTCAGCGCTCCTCCACCTCTTTGCATCATCGCCAGCACCATCAGCATCACCATCGTCATCATCGTATCCGCAGCCTTTCCGCCGCAAGGCCACGCGTGTGGAAAATAGGATCGTCCTCATCGTCATCATCATCGTCAACATCACCATCCTCACCCACTATCTATTTGGCGTCAACGTTGACAGCGTTGATTCGCAAGGGCCAGTAAGATGACATGAGAGGTTACCATGACTTGCCACAGAAGTGTGCCCTGGAAGCGACAGAGCAGTTTGTTTGTACTGTTTCCGTGTTATGCTTGTTTCTTTATTGTTTCTTGCTCCGTTGTTGGTTTACCGTTTCCGGCGCCTTGTTTTGTTTGTGTTCGTGTTCCCTCGTGGTGGCCTGGTCCAGATCTTTTTTTCCGACTAGATCCGAACCGTTTTCGAATTGGTTCCGAACGTCCTTCGGATCTCCGGTTTGCCACCTCGGTGAATTGTGACAGGTTTCATTTTTTCAGTGGACCGTTGTTTGTTGCTGCTTGTATGACCAGCGTAGATGACCGCGGTGGTTGCTAAGGGGATACGGGTTACAAATGGATATGGAGCTTAGTTACATCTGGACTAACCTAGCGCATCAGTGAGTTACAGATGCCCTCAGTGGCTCAAAAGGTTTAGGACATTCCCGTATGTGACCTCCGCCCACAAACCAGACGGTCGCCCCCCGTAAGCCGCTTAGGGTACCTGCAACCAGTTCGTAAGTTCTGTTAGGCCAGGTATTATATGCCATAGTGTCCACTTGAACCCCTCCTATCCCCAAGGCAACCCCCCGCGGTCATCCAAGTGGCGTTTCAATTTTGCGAGCCAGGCGTTTTTTCGCGTGAGTTTTGGTCCGCGACCTGCACAGATCGACTCGTCTCGAAAAATTGGCTTTTGAGCTTTGGTTGCGATTTTTTTCACGGTGCTGCAATTTTTCGCGTCGTCGGATCTCAGGGTGAGGCTTCGGGCTGCGCACAGACAACCCCCCAGGTAGTCCCAGCTGGCCTCGGCAGGCCCCCCCGAATAGCTCCAGGCGGTCTCATGATACGTTGAGGTGTCGAGGCCGCCCTCGGCTCTGCGGGGGGGCATGTCGAGGCCAGCTGGGACCACCTGGGGGGGAAGTGTTGAGGCCAGCTGGGACTGCCTCGTGGGGGCCGTCCGTGCGCAACCCGCAGCCTTTTGAAGGGCGGCATCGGCGGGTCGTTCCGGAAAGTCGACGCGGAGCACACGGGGGGGGACGTCTTCGCGATCCAGGCGCAGGCGTCCAACCGCGAGACGCTCTGGTCGGAGCTGTTCCAGGAGGCGGAGCGAGCCACGATGCGCCGGCACCTGGTCTCGCGCGTGGTGACTTTCAGCATCAAGTTACCAGCCTGGAGCATATCCCTATCCCTATGCTGGGCACCTCCTCATCACGATGCCAATCTTAGGGATTCCCCTTATTTTTTGAAGGCGAATCCCTAAGATTGTCATCGCCTTTTGGCATGCCAATCCTAGGGATAGGGATACGTTCGAGGCTGGTAATCAAGAACACCCACCAGATCTCGGTGCGCATGCTGTGGACCAAGGATGCACTCGCGCCTCCCCGTCCCAACCAGCTGCGGCGCGACGACGCCGTCAAGGGACCCGTGGCCGTGCTGTGCCACGACTTTGCGGGCAGGCTCACGTCCTCCTGGACGTGGTCGAAGCTGGTGTATCCGCTACACAGGGCTGGTATCTCCGTTGTGATGGTTGACTTTCCTGGCTTCGGATTGAGCCGAATTTGTGGCAAGGGTGCCCAACGCTCGTCCTGGATCGAGCAGGACTGGCGAATAGTCGAAAAGATCATGGACACCCTGAAGATACGAAGGGCCCACCTCGTCGCCTGCGGGGAGTCTTGCAACATCGTCCTGAAGATGCTCAAGTTTGTCAAGATGCGTCTCGAGATCACGCACGTCTTCTTCAATCCAGTGCTGGATCTGGACTCCCTGTTCTCCTTGGACGAGATGCGGAAGGGCAGGATCGGAAACAGGGACATCAAGGCGTTGAGGGAGGACCAGCGAGACGCTTTTGAGCTGCTGCTGCACAACTCGAGGGTCAAGATCTGGGCAATGTTCGACCAGTCCGAAAGTCGAGCGGACCAGGCAAGAATCATGCTGGCGAGCTTTCAGTCGCTGCCGTTTTCGAGCGACCAGATCGCGGTGACGGAAATTGGTGAGCAGCATATCTGCGCCGCCATGGCAGGCTCCGCAGTGCAGGTGCCGATATTGTTTCCGTGCAGGTATGTGAAACATAGTTGCGTACGCTTTCTCAATCTCGACCACACTTTCAAGCCTCCCCCGTCGCTTCTGGCGGAGGAGCATCGGGGCGACGGCGCTGTGGAGGAGACCTGGTGCGGCCGGGGCCCGAGCCAAACAGCGGTGGCGCAGCCCAGCTTGGTCGGTACCAACCTCGCGGCGCCAAGCAAGGCGCTCGAGGTGGCCATCGCCGTCTGCGACCGCCCGGGCGGCACCGCCCTGCCCGCTGCCATGCAGCGCGGGCGGGCATCGGCTCCCGCGCGCGGAGGAGCACTGTCCCCCGGGGCCCTCGCGCTGCCAGCCTTGCGCGGCGGTGCGGCACACGCGCGGGGCCAGCTGGCGCTTGCGGCGTCGGCACGCAGAGGAGGAAATGGTACCGATACGGCTTCCCTCCCCTCGTGTTCCCTTTTTCGGATGGGGCCAGGACGAAGATAATCCTTCCAGAGTTTTCCGGAACGCTCTCAGAGCGTTCTGGAACGCTCTGAGAAGGCTGCGGCGCCCGATACATCTTCCAGAGCCGCCCGATCTCAGAGACTCTCGATTTATCCTTACTCGATTTTTGTTTCCTCGTCATGGCTTCCCTGGAGGCCCTCGTCGCCACTGCTGGATTCGTCTTGAGATTCTGGTCAGAACGCACCCCGGGAGAGGGGCGGGGGGTTGCGGTATCGGCAACCCTTTCATCAAGAGTTAACAGACCCTGATACCTCCACAGAAAGCAGACCCCTTATCCCCAATGTTTTTGGCCCTCCTACCTTAGGTCAAGGGAGGAAAAACCACCCGGACTGGACAACCGGACAATTTGCGTTCACTGAACGGCCTGGGGCGTTCACTAAACAGCGCCTGCTCTGCTGGATCCCTTCCGTGAGGGGCGTCTAGTAAACGGCTCCGCGCGTCGGGGCGGTTGTTACGAGGGTGGATGTGTTGCCCTCTTATTAGGTGCCCTCCCAAAAGGGTCAGGGTTCGGTCTGATGCCTTTGCAGAAAAAGACCCCTTTGTCCCGGAGGTTGATCGACCTCCTACCCTGACGCGTCGATCAAGGAATTGGCCGCTTTCGGTTCGCGAGGGCGTCGCGGCCATCATTTCTGCAGGTCCAGCTTCGTCGGTGTCGGCCCCAGGCCGTTTTCGCTCCGGGGAGGCACAGGGAGGTCTGCCCACTGTTTTTGGCCCTCCCAGCTTGGGTGCCCGGGGCCCCTTCCCTGCCGGCCACTCCCGGCTTCCAATCGACTAGACGTAAGAGTGACCTGTCGCCGGAGTGACCTATTGGTGCGGGCACACTGGGGCCCCCCGATCACTAAATTGCGATGCAATATAGTAGCGCCTCGCGCGCCTGCGTTCGGTCCCCCCGCGGCTCCCCAGAAGCCGCGCACCAAAGGCCACCCTTACCCGAAGGCTCAGATTTACCCTCGATTTCCAGTGGGGGGGGGGGCGGGAAACATTGACAACAGCTCGTGTGGAACCCTTACCCCCCCAACCCGAAATTCGGGTCTTCGGGTTGGGTTGGGGTGGTCTGGTAGGTAGTCATCGGCAGCAAATCATGGGGGCGTTCTATGCCCTCGCAAGTCCGTCCTTAAAGAGTGCACTCATGCCGATGAGCGCCTGGCAATCGATGAGATAGCGCCGGTGATCGTCGACTCGCGTCGAGTAGGGCCGATCGAGCGTCGACGAGCCTCGATTGGCCCTACTCTTACCCAGGGTCACTCCTGCGTGTAGCCGACTTCCCCCCAAGAGGCAGCGGAGCCCGCGGCCAGCTGGAGCCCCGCGCGGGAGCGGGGCTGCGGCGGCGGCGGCGTGCCGGGAGGTGCCGCGGGCAGCCTCGGGGAGGGGCGCGGGCCCGAGGGCGGCCTCGCCTCGCCGCGGCCCGGAGGCTCCGAGGAGGAAAGGTACTCCGGATTCCATGATACAGTGGGGGGGGTCACATTTTTGGGGGGGGGGTACGATTTGAGTTGTCTTGGAGGGCTCGGCGGGATCTAGGCCAAGGGCCGCCCTTTCATGGATGGTCTGGGGGGGTCTAACGCTTCTCGTCTGGGAGGGTTGTGACCCCCTCCCTTTTAAAACGAAATCTGGAGTGCCCCTGACCTCTGTCGACGAGGCTTAAGTCGGGCCTGTCCCTCCACAGGGGGGAAATCCAAAAATAGTCAAAAAATAATTGTTTGGACAATTTTCCCAACATTTTTTGAGTATTTTTGAGTATTTCAAGGTATTGTTTGACTATTCTTCATTTGTCGTCCAAAATCCCCCTGCAGGGGGACAGGCCCGACTTAACCCGAATTACCCCAATCGACTAGGCGCAAGGAGTGACCTTTCGCCGGAGTGACCTTTGGTGCAGGCACAGATGGGCCCCCAGATGGCCGAAAGAGAAGCGGTAGCAGTTGCTTGCGCGCTTTTTTTTGCCCCCCCCCCTCCCCGCAGTCCCAACAAGCCGCGCACCAAAGGTTACTCTTACCCATGGTCACTCGTGCGTGTAGCCGACTCTACCCTTCGCCCGTTTTCTCCTTTTTCCGCCTCCGCGGAAGCCCTCGTCGCCACCGCTGGATGTGAGTAATTAGCGGTATCGGTATTTCTTGGCTTCTCCAAAGGCGGCGTTGGGCTCGTCTTCGCCAGGCACTGCGGCATCCGGGATGCCACGAGGCTGGCTTGCGAGATCCAGCCTCCCGACGTGCATCGGGAGCGCGAGGTCCTGCTCACCAACACCAAGGCTCATGATGCTCCAACCTACTGTAGCCTTGACCACCAGAAAGAATTTCGACCACCAGTGAAGTACCGAATCTGGAGGGTTTTTTCGCGTGCCGGGTCCCTGGAGGAGATGCCCGCTCGACACTTGGCCAGCGTGTCGGCAGACACTGCTTCGATGCTGTTTCTGGGCGCTCGAAATTGCTTCTGGGATGTGGTCCTGGTGTGATGGGAGCAGCATGTACCAAGTCCGTCACGAAGCTGAAGAACTGGACGGAGCTCCGGGGCGGGGCGCCCGCCGATCGTGGGGACGCGCTCCTGCAGGAGATCTCGGCGTCACCCCAGCATGCTTATACGATGTGTGCGTCGCCCCGCCGGGGGTGATGCGCGTGATGGGCCTGTTTTCCACCACCAACACCATCGGTCGGAGGGGGGGAGGAGGTGGAGGAGGAGGAGGAGGAGGAGGTGGAGGAGGAGGAGGAGGAGGAGGTGGAGGAGGAGGAGCAGGAGCAGGAGGAGGAGGACCCCCTCCCCCTCCAACTTATGGTGATGGCGGTGGAAAACAGGCCCATCTCATAGGATCTGCGTCGTGGCGGGGGCACTTTCGGGCCACGCCGCTCGGGAAACGCTGCGCTACAAGATGGGCATACTATGTGTTCGGGTCGGCCGCGCGCCTCCACGGAGAGCAGATAGTACACTGGTAGGTCTCTGTGCGTCCCAGGAGGGGGCGTTTCCTAAACTCAGGAGGAAAAGAAACACACAGACACAACTAATCGTCGATTCCCCAGAAAATATGGGAAAGTATGGGAAGTGGTGGGGAGGACAAAATCAGAGAAAATATGTGAAACTATGGGGAATATTCTTATTTGTGTGTATTTATTTGTGTGTCCTGGGCCCCATTCATAAACAGCCCTGCCCTGTTCGATTCCCTTTGTTAGGCGCGTTTGCGAACGGCCTCGCGTGCCGGGGTGGTTACAGTCGGGCTGGATGCTCTGCCCTCCACAAGGAGAGGGCGTGGATCGAGGACGCCATGGACATGTCCATGAAGACCCTCGAGGAGGACGAGGAGAGGCGCCGGCGCCTCGAGCCAGACGCCAGGGGTGGCAGACGCCAGAGTTAGGTCGGGCACGTCCTTTTGCAGGGGGACGATTCAAACCTGGTCAAAAAATAGCCTTGGGGCGATGTTTTGACGATCTGTTATGCATGTTTGGGGATTCTTGTCGGACTATTTTTCGCATGTTTCGTCCAGAATCCGCCCGTAGGGGGACACGCCCGACCCGACGCCAGAGCCAGAACGAGAGGTTGCTGGAGAAGCTCCGGCAGTGGCAGCGGCGCGGCGCGACTGCCCTCGCGCCGCTCCCGCCCCCCGGGCGCTACTTCCACGACTAGGGGGGGGCCATTGGCCCTGCCCGGCTTGCCACCGGCGTGCGGCCGTCGCAGCGCCGCTGCAGCTCGTCGCCGCTGAGTTTCCGGCGGCGGGCGGAGGTGGGGGAGGGAGGAGGGGCGGGCCCTCTCCGGAGGCGCGGCAGCTCCCCGTCCTCCCGAGAAGTTCTCTGAGCCTTCCCCGAAGGCGCAGAGAATTTCTCAGAGGACGCGAGGGCTTCTGAGGTGTCCCGCCACCTTCGGAGAAGTCTCCAGGCCTCGCAGATCGTAGATGGGGCCCGTGTAATCAAATGTAAATCAGGTCGGAGGATCGCGCCGTATCGTCGATGCATCGGCGGTGCGGATCGATGCGGAGCCCGATGTAGTGCACACACGCTGGCGTCGCCGATGCATCGGCGATGTACCGGCGATGCGGCGCGAACCTCCGACCCCATCTTTTCCGACCCCATCTATAGGAGCCCCTTTGAAGGCCGTCTCCGTCTCACTTCCCCCCTCGCTCGCCGCCAAAGATCGTGCATAGCCAGGAACCCAGGTAAGGGGCCCCGGTTAGTGGTGGGGCCCCGGAGCCCCTGAATTGGCCAGAATCGCTAAACCGGGTCTGCCCTAGCTGCTCTAGCTGGTGTTTTTGTTGGGCGACGGCAGTCCGGGTTCTAGTGGAACGGGGCGGGGGGGGCGTCCCCCAGCACACCTCCCCGAACCAGGCCCCACGGAGCCCAGCTCTGCCCACGCCCGAACTTGGCATCGCTCGGACGTGTGCATTTTTCTTCTGGCGAGGACCATCGGGGAGCATGCTTGATCATTTGGCAAAACAACCACGCACGAAACCGAAAAAAGCACAGAGATTGGACGTTTGAGCGATGGCCAGCGAACAGCACGTGGCCCCGCGGCGCCCGCGCCGCGGCGGCTGCAGCCGCTGCAGCCGGGGGAGGGCCCGCGGCCGGGGTGTGCGGGGGCGGCGCCCTTCGCCGTGCCCGGCGCGCGGCCGCCGCCGCACCCGAGGAGAGCTCGGCCGGGGCGCGCCCGGGCTTCTCGGGTGGGTGGGCGCGCCCTCTCTTCGGGGGCGGGAAAGAGGGGGGATGACTACCCTGACCTTCCAGGAGGGCCAGAAAATAGCACCAGGACGTCGACGTCCTAATTCTTGTCGAGGTTTGAGGCAGTCCAGATAGATCTATAGGTCTGGAGTGCTGTGTTTTAGCACTCTGGAAGGTCAGACTATGGGGGGGGTGGACATCACGGCGCGGGCCATGATATCTCCCCAGATCTCATGGCGCCTCTTCTTGTTTCATGGCGTCCCTGGCCCCCCCCCGCTGGGCCGCGCACATGCCGCCGGTCATGATTTGCACCCCCCCCCTCTTGGGACACCCCCCTCCTTGGCCGCTCCCGAGGGGAGCTCGGCCAGAGCGCGCCCAGGCTTCGGAGTGGGCGGGCGCGCCCTCTCTCTCGGTGGTGCAAGGCGGGGTGCCTGAGGGGTTCGGGCAGGGGAGCGACGAATTACAGGATCGTTTCACCCCGCAACTGCTGTCCCGTCGGAGCGACGATCCGGACCTGGAGTTCTGTCGGGCCTGTCCCCCTACAGGGGGATTTTCGACGAAAAATAGAAAATACCAAAAAAATACCCCAAAAGGGTTAGAAACTACTGAAAAAAATCGTCCCCAGACCATTTTGGGACTATTTGTTGTTTTTGTTGGGGGGTCTTTTCTATTTGTCGTCGAAAATCCCCCGGTAGGGGGACAGGCCCGACCTAAACCTAGAGTGCTCCGCAGATCGGCCGACCTGTTCTACGCTCTGTGGGCGGGCGCGCCCTCTCTCGGTGGTTCAAGGCGGGGTCCCGAGGGGTTCGAGCAGGGGATTACCAGCCTGGAACATATCTCTATCCCTATGCTGGGCACCTCCTCATCACGATGTCAATCTTAGGGATTCCCTTATTTTTTGAAGGCGAATCCCTAAGATTGTCATCGCCCTTTGGCGTGTCAATCTTAGGGATAGAGATACGTTCGAGGCTGGTAAGGGGAGCGACTACAGGATCGATTCACCCCGCAATTGCTGTCCCGTCGGATCGACGATCCGTACCTCGAGTGCTCCGCAGAGCGGCCGGCCTGTTCTACGCATTGTTCCCACAGGCTCGACGGGGAAATCAGTTCTGGGTAGAGGAAATCTGTGTAGGCGATCCCATACACGAGCGATGGGGGCTCGAGTCGAAGAGGAGACACGCCATCAGCGTAGACTTTTGGCGTTCCGCGCGGATTTCTTGGATCCGCGCTGGGCCCGCCCGGCGGCGCCTTCGGCGCAGCCCCTGGCGCGCTCCGCGCGCCAGGGAGGGGGGTCCAGCGCAGATGCAAGAAATACGCGCCGAGTGCTAAGAGCTTATGTTCATGCCGTGGCTCGTTCCTCTGAAGACAGGGTCCTGAGGCATGGGGGCCTAAGGAAGAGAAGAAACCCAAGGGAAGACTTACGCTGCTGGGGCACCTCGCCCTCAGGACCGTAAACACGCTAACGGCGATGTAGGCAACGGCGATGTAGGCTTGGGTATTGTAGGTGGGGGTGGTTCGGTTCCGACCCAAATCGTAGGAAAGCGTTGTTCGTGTGGTCCTACCATTTGTTCTGAGCGAGATCGGTGTCGCAAGAGCCAGATTCCCAACATCGCCGTTCGCCAATAGCGCCGTTCGCGTGGCCTTCGCCGCCTGGGGCACCTCGCCCTCAGGACCCCACCCATCAGGGCCCCATCTTTGAACCACCGGCCCTCCATGCGGTGCACTCGCCAGATGCCGCACCGTGCGAGGCCTCGGACGGGCCGGTGCCGCGAGCCACCTATTTCCGACAGGGGGGTCGGACGGGGCCAGGACGAGGATTGATCCGTTCCAGAGCGTTCTGGAACGCTCTCGAAGCGTTCCGGAACGCTCTGAGAAGGCCGCGGCGCCCGAGACATTCTCCAGAGCTGCCCGATCTCAAGGACTCTCGATTGATCCTCACCCGAATGGATCCTCGTCCTGGCGTCGTCGTAGATGGGGACTCTGGGCTTCCGCCGGTCGCTTTGCTGGCTGCAGCCGCGTCCATGCACGCCTGCACCCGCCGCGGCCCCTTTATAAGCGATAGGAGGTAACAATACCGCTACCCTCCCTTCGTTTGTCCCTTTGGGAGCCTCGTGGGAGGCCCTCGTCGCCACCGCTGGAGTCGCCCCGAGAATCTGGTCTTAAGTCGGGCCTGTCCCTCGACAGGAGGAATATCCAAAAGGGGTCAAAAATATGGTCAGGGGACGAGTTGTGGAGCATGTCTTGACTATTTTGGTGCATTTTCGGGGCATCTTTTTGAAATTTTCGCCCAAGATCTGCCTACAGGGGGACACGCCCGCCTTCAATCTGGTCAGGACGCACCCGGGGAGAGGTCCAGGGAGTAGCGATATCGGTGCCTCTGGGTTTCCGCGGGCGCCCGCCGCGGCCTTTTTTTAAGATCGAGCCGGTGGGCGAGGGCGTGGGCTGGCCAGAGCACGATCGAAGAGCAGCCGCGACGGAAGCGAGGGAGGGAAGGAGGGGGGCGCGGGGTTCGGGGCCTTGGGTCGCGACGCGTTCCAGGCTCTCCAGGGCTGCCCAGATCTCCTCCCGCTCCGCGTGGGCTCCAGAAGCGGGGACGCGTGGAAACCCTCTGTTCGACTCCTGGGTGGTCAAATTCTGATTTTGCATTGGTCCAGAATCCAGCTGAATCTTTCTTACGATTGCTTAATCCGCGGTCCAATCCGGCGTAGTAGCCCCACAAGGGGGCTTAATGGCTTAATCCTCTTTAGGTCTTCCAACGCAGACCTCCCAGTTGTTGTTTCCTGACCCTTGGGTTTCTCTGACGTTTCCTGAGCCACTCGCATCCCAGCATCATTCTCGTCTTGAGGAGGGCGCCTGCGCGACGGATTTCTGGACGGCGAGAGACAACCTGCCTCGTTGGGAGACAACCGTTTGAAGACCCTGAAGCGTGCCAAAAAGCAATTCTCGGGACTCCAACGCTACGGATCAACCTGATTGTTGCGTCTTGGCGATCCTGAGTCGTGCCAGAACACCATTTCTTTGATTTTATCACCGCGAATCAACGTAACTGGTACGAGTCCTCCCAAAACACAGTTTCTGGTACGCTGACCATTTTGCACCCTCACAATCCTGAGTCCTTCCAAAACACCGGTTCTGGTACGCTGACCATGGGAATCCGTGAAATGTAAGTGTCTGAAACGCATGTGCGGGGCGCTGAGGCGAGAGTTACAGTTTGAAACCTGGCGCTCTCAGTCCGTGAAACTCTTGCACATGTTTTAAACGAATGTGCGCGGCGTTGAGGCGAGAGTTTCATGTTGAAAACGACCCACCCTCAATCCGTGAAGCTCTTGCAATTCTTTACAAATGTGCGCGGCGCTGCGGCGAGAGCCACATGTTGCAAACGACCCACCCTCAATCCGTAAAGCTCGTGTAAGTTTTCATACTAATGTGCGCGGCGCTAAGGCGAGAGCGACATGTTGAAAACGACCCGCCCTCAATGCTTGGAACTCTTGCAATTTGTCATACGAATGTGCGCGGCGCTTAGGCGAGAGCCACATGTCGGAAGCGACCCGCCCTCCATCCGTGAAGTTGTTTCTAACGTTTCAGCTTTATGGTCACAAATTGTGAGGAAGTCTCAAGCGAAATGACTGGCCCCGCCCTGTCGACCGGCCTCCGGGTGCGACAGGGAGGATTCATTGAAAAGGAAAAGGAACGAAGGAGGGGGGGAGGGGACAGATGAGGAGGAGGAGGAGGACAAGCTAGGTGCGCTCACGTCATATCTGACGTCCTACCCCTCCCTCCCATCACTTACCATGACGTAGATATCCTCTCTATTCGCGCAGTGTAATATCGAGCAGGGCAATGATCGCGAGAGATTGCGTACGCGATACATGGTAGAGGACGGCATGGCATGGCGTAGAAGAGCACGGCAGAGCATAGCATGCCATTGCATAGCATGGCATTGCGCAGTGAAGCATTGCATCACAAAGCATTGCAACGCAAAGCATGGCATCGCTCAGCGGCTCAGAACGCAACACTGCACAGCATGTCATGACATGGCACCAGGTTCCTT